GAACGAGAATAGAGACCCCACAGAAACTTTATCACCCAGTTCATCTTAAGAACATCAGTCTCTTCACGTGCATCAGTTTATTGAGACTAAAAAGTTTACAGACTTTGAAATAATGTGTTTTATTTGACATGGATTCATTTAAAGATTCATGTTGTGCAGCTCACCGTGCTTTAGCCATGTCACACGTTTTATTCATATTCAATATATATTTACTGCAAATCTTCTGTGTTCTCAGTTCATATTGATACTATCTGCATCTGGTAAGCTGACCTTTTCCATCTTTACTAACCAATGCAATTATGCCGCTGAACCTGGGCTGTGCCACAGGTCTGGTGTGAGTAAGAGAAGCAGGAAAAACTGCTTACTGCAAGTATAAATGTTGGATGTGACTTCAAGCGCTGCTTGCGTAAGAGAACGGCTGCAGAATCAAACTAATGTGGGGAGCGGGTGGGCAGTGATGACAAAAGATGTTAATTTCAGGAAAGACGTGTTTTAAAGAATACAGTTCGAGTTGACTGTAAGATAAAGAGTTTCCTCTGCGGAGAACAGCTTAAGTCTTAAAGCAGGAGGTACGGAGCTGAAGTAAGCAGTCAGTCATGGGCCACTTCATGAGTGGAAGCCTTGTTTTGTTAGACGGGAGGATAGAGGTGCCTGGATAGGTGGTCTTATTGCCACGTTAACCTTTTTTCCTTTTACTTTTTAAGGACTGTGATCATGAAGAACTCCTAAAATCTGTCCCAGGCTTTCAGAGGAAACGTCCACTTAAAACTAACAAAAGGTCACATTTTGTGGGTTTGTGCTCCACAAATCCAGTGTGTGTGCTAAACGTTTGTGAGCGTTCAGACGAGTGTATTTGTGTGCTTTTGTTTCTCTAACTGAAGCATGAACTACAGATGAACTGCAGACAGCATTGGGGGGAAAAACAAGGTGGAGACATCCTCAAAAACTGGCCTTTCTCACATGTAGCACACAGCAGGAGATAATCCACTTCAGACACATTCTCTATGCTGGAAATATATTTAGTTTAAGTGAGGGTGTTGCCCAGAAAGAGTCTGGTGCAAGAGTCGGTGAATTCACTGGATTATTGCTCTGTTCTTAAATGGACATTACACAGAGTTTGCACAAGAAAGTTAAAAGACTGTTAAACCCTAAAATGACCCCAAACAAAGGGCCATCGTTGACCCTGTGGTTTAGAAAGAAGCACAAAGGACTTTGGGGAAAAATCTAAATACTGTTTGATCCGTATTAGAATTATTATTCTTTTCCCTGATTGCCAGACTTTGGACCGTGTGGTGGATGCAGTGGAGGAGCATGCAGGGGCAGTTGTGACAGAAGAGGATGCTACACCTAGCTGATTATTTGTGTGACGAGCCCCAAAGAGAGCAACACAAAGAAGAAGAAGGTCGCACAGGGTTGGATGACGTGCACCTCACAGGGTTATTTATAGAAGAGCCACAGGACAAGTCTCGGCTGTCCATCTGCATCTAAAGGTCAAAGGTCACTCTTTGAGGATGCCAATGTTCACATTTTGGACAGAGAGGACAGATGGTTTGAAAGAGGAGTGAAAGAAGCATCTATGTCCACTGTGAACGACCACTTTTGAACAGAGGGCGGGGCTTATGACACCAACTGTCTGCCATCTATAATCCAGTTTTGAGATCCTTCCCAGACGCCTGAACACCCACTCACGTCCTGGGCCATCTGACCTCAGGAAAGGCTTCACAATGAGTTCACCCAAACCTTGGTTGATTGTGACCTGCACCCATGTTCACACCTTGACTCGTGTGATTAGGTAGCGGATCAATAGGGGGTCCATGACCCTCTTGGGGCGACACTCCCATTGGGCTTAAAATCTGGGACTCTCCACCAGTTGCTCTTAGAACTGAAGAAGCTTCTTGGATGAACTTAAAGAAGTCCAGACGCTTTTCTTTCCAAGCTCCTCCGACTACGATCACCCGGAGGACTGAGAACCTTCACAGACTCACAGGGTTGGACATTTCAGTTCTCATGTGCATCTTTGGAAGATCCTTAAAAGTTCAAGAGTCAGTCTGGTGTCATCTAGCAGTTGTATGCATGCGTCTTTGTGTGTGTGCGTTTTTGATGAGTCACCACAGATAAAGCAGCCAGCAGCGGTAGAGCTACATTAGCAGATAACAGCATCTCTCTTCCAGAGACCACCGCTTTGCCAACAGCCCTTCTTCTCATTCGGTTCATCGTAACCCAGGGTACCTGCGCTTCAGGGCAAGGGGCGTTCACAACCCCGTGCTACAGCGTTTGGAAGTTAGCGTCACGAATGACCATCTAAAGCTGAATAACAGAAAGTAGATCTCAAAACAGTGTGTTTGAGAGGACAGGAGCATGAGGATGCCCACTTCCCTTAATGTCAGCATACTGTGTGTGAGCTGTAATAGGAGTAAGATAGGAAAAAATACAAAATAAAAATATCTATCAAGTTCTATAGTTTAACGATGTACCAGGAACCAAATATTCCAAGGCAACATATTACTGTTAATCGTGTATCTAGCACTCAGGTGGAGGTGGGCAGCTTACAACTACATGAAGGAGTTTCTTTATGATCTTTTTGGCACATTTATAAGCTGAAAGTAGCTTTCAGCTCCAGACCCAGATCATGCTAGAAACCAGCCATCACTGTAGATTCAGGTCTGTGTTCAAATCCTAGCTGGCAGCTAATAAAGAGGTGAAAACAAGCTGGTCTGACTGCTGTTAGATGCTAGAACTTAGCGTCCTGTCCTGCTCGTGCTGCACTGCAGCTCGGACGCGGCTCGCCTCGCCTTTCATGTGTGACTACAGTACGCGCAACTCTCAACTTTTATGGCAAGAAACATCAATACAGCAGCCACAAAGACCTTAAGGGGCGATGAATAATTCACGCAAGGCTCCTGAAACACTGAAACACTTTCCTCTTCCCCGTGTCGTCTGAGAATCTCTCCGCCAACCCCCAACAAACACACACACAGCTATGGCAGCTCAGACACACTCTTTCATGCATGTTGTCCCAGAAAATACACTCAGTGCAGTGTTAGCAGGAGGATGCAAGGACT